TATTAGAAAATGAAAACCACCTCCACTGGAGGACACATTCTCCCCTCTGCAATCGGACAGAAGAAAAAACCCTCTTTAGGGTCATTCCAAAACTCTGAGTTTAGGATGGATTAGCAGCTCTTTGAGGTAAGACTGCTTTCTCAAATGCTCAGCCCCAGCCAACTGGCAGGTTTGATAGCATCCTAAAGGACAATTACTTACGAGTAAAATGCCAACCTTCTCCCTCTTCAGAGCACCCCACCAGAACTCTGTACACACAGGGTCACCCATTTAAGAAGATTCAGCAAACTCCCTGGCAGGCCCAAGAAAAGTACATTTGCACTGGTGTAAAAAGAATAAAAGAAATAAAAAGAATGTCTGGAAGATGCATCCTCTTTTCCTGTCCAGATTACTTTTTTTTTTAGATTAATTTATTTGTACATACAGAACTGGGGTATAGGCCAGAGGTGCAGGGCGGTGAGAGGCTTCACCAGAGATAGAGTGGGGAGCAGAACAGGCAGACTGACAAAGTACACTGCTGAGGGGAGCAGGGAAAAGACAGGAGAGGTCTGCTCTGCCATGTGGGTCACCTCTGGAGTGGGGGATCAACTTGTACTGAAGTAGCTAATAGTAGCTTGCAGTGCTGCATCCTAACTCATTTGCACCACCAGGAAAGACCTCCTTTTTCCTTTCATTCTTTGCCTTACTTATCATTCATTCTATTTTTATATTCATTACTTCAACAAAAATATAGGAATACCTATTGTGTGCCAGACATATATATATACTACTAGCAGTTAGAATATAACAATACTAACAACCCAAGAACAGTAATATTCCTAATTCTTACCTAGTGCTTGCTTATTTTGCACTGGAATCTATTTGCAGTTACACCCTACCTCACCTAATCTTGTTCCAGTCTTAGTTTCTTTAAAGACAAGCAATGGTAACACAGAGAGACTAATTCTCTAGGTCATACAACTAGTGAGAATCAGAGTCAGAATTAAAACCCAATTTCTTCTACACCAGCATCCATACATAATCTTGACTTCCCGACATATGAAGCAAAACAAACATGGTTTTATGGAACTTTCAGGCTACCAGAAAATTTGGGCATTAAACAAACATACACAAACACATTTGTGACCACAAAGGCTGATTAGATATATGAGAAAAGAGGAAGGTGCCATGAGCTAGGAGAGTGTTGAAGGCTAGTGATTACTTATGTGAGTGTCTTATCACCTAAGTGATAAAGCTGTAAAATTTAAGAAAGTAAACTGACTAAATGGAGCTGGGGAATACTAGGGCTGGAAGACAGGCAAAGTGACTAAGAAATCCAGCCCTTAACCCTTGCCACAGAGCCTTGCCTCTGGGTGGCCCTTCTTGCTGGTCCATGTAAAAGGACAAGATCTGGCAAATACAGCCCCTTCTGGATTGGTTGCCCTTCACAGATGAAAGGAAACCCCTCATTTGCTGCTTTCAACCAAGAAGTCCAGGTTGAGTATCTAAAGAAAACTTAAATTCTCCCTTGATGGCTTTAGCTTACTTATTAAAAAGTAATTTCTTTGAGTCATAATGATTAGCACTGAAGCTTCTGGAAACAGAAGTTCCAGACAGTTTATAGCTGGTAAAATAAGCATACGTAAGAGGCCTATTAATAAAATGGGAAACAGACTGAAATACAGATTTAAGAATAAAAACATGGAAATAGGTTATCAAGTTTCCAGAGCAATAACACTTCCTTTATATCTTTCTATTAAAAAAAAAATTCTTGGGCCCTCCCTGGTGGTGCAACGGGTTAAAGCACAGAACTGAGAAGCTAAAGCCACTTCCACATGAGTTTGATTCCCGCCAGCCCCGGAGGTGACCACATGGCGTGGCAGACTTCTCCTGACGCGCCCGCTGCTCCCCTCAGCAGTGTACTTCATCGATCTGCCTGTTCTGCTCCCCGCTCTGTCTCTGGTGAAGCCTCTTGCCGCCCCTGAGCCTCTGGCCTGTACCCCAGCTCTGTATGCACAAATAAATAAATCTTTAAAAAAAAATCTTAGTTTTATTCCCCTTATATCTCGTCTTATGAAGTTTTCTCTATGTAATTTGGGAAATTCTGTGTCTCATTGCTATTATATATCTTATGTATTATTTTTATGTCTTCTGTCTTTATATTAGGCACGTTCCAGAAGTATATCCAGAAGTGGTGTGACATATTAGCTCCTAATTCTACACTTTCATTCTATTGTGGTAAATGACATAAGGGGAAAGATGAGCCGAGGACAGGTGTTCCTAATAGCACCATTAGTTGCTCGTGCTTCACATATCTAGCTAGGAGAACATCATCATTTTCAGGTCCAACAAATTAACTATGTTTTTAGTTCATAAACGGAGTAGTTCTTGATATTCTGTTGCCATATCTATATCACTCTTGTTTCATCATCTTAGTGTTTCATTTCATATAAGGTTTTATATTTCCCCTGGCTTTTATTTATGATATTACTATATTAGAAAGCTTGATAACTAAACATACAAGGTAATCATTTGACTTCTAGTGAGGGTTAAATAGTCTCTAATAAGCAAATAACACATTAAGTCATTGTTCACAGTTAGCAAATTACTCTTGGATTAGCCTACACTTAAATTATGAGAAGTTTTCTTAACATTAAGGAGCAACAGTCTAAAGGTTACCGATTAAACTTTGAAAGTAACTTAAGCCACATTGTACTAAATTTCTTATTACTGCCATGAGACTTTAACCCAGAAAAGCACACTAAATGTGATTTTCTACAAAAATATATTTTATTACCTAGTCAAATAATACTGATTATTTGACCCACAGTCAGAATTCAGTCTTCTTTAATAAATATATTTCATTAATAGATAAAATTGCCTTTTTGTGGTTTAGCTGGAAATAAAGTGCCAAATAAATTACAAATAAAGGTTTTTTTAAAGTATGCATATAACTTAAGAATCTAGACTTGTCCAAAAATGAATAGATGTCATCACCTCTTTCTTAACACAGTCTATCATCACATTTTACATTCACATATGGGGAACAGAGGATAACAGTATATTTATATCAAATTTCTGAAACCATGACATCACATGTCACTACCCAGGAATAATTGACTTTTTTTGTGCTCTACAAGAAAAGGAAAGAAAAAATTGTAATAAATGCAGTTTATATTAGTTTCAAAGTTGATTCTTTCCCAAAGATAGCTTTCTTTTTTTCCTTAAAAAATGAAATCTTGGACGTAGAGTTAAATTTCTCACAAAAATAAAATATTTAGGAATAAATTGTTGAGAAACCACCTGCAAATTACCTCAGACCTTTGGAAAAACAATCTAATTTAAATCACGAGTCTAAATAGGTCATTTAACTTAGAAAAATTAAAATTAGCTGTGCCAGGCTAATTTTTTCTAAAACATCTGCATTCTCAATGTCCTGTCTTCAAAGTCAAATCACAGTTAAGTGTCAAGATGAACTATGAATTATTCCAAATCTCAAAGTTAGCTTACCCTTGAAATCGCCATACAAGTTAACATTACAAAAAACAAACAAACAAAAACCACCTGGAGTTAGGGGCTTGCTTAAAGGACTTAGGAGTGGAAAAGCAGAGAACGCTTACATCTCAGCAGGAGAATGGTATGTGAGAGGGGGATGAGTCTCTCCTGGTGCTCATTTCTTGCATTTCACGTGCACACTTCACAAGGCAAATCAAAATCAGCTGAGCCACGCTCAGTACAAAGCAAGCACTTCCACACAAGTTTAATCACCCACACTTTTCTCAAACTAACAAAACAAGATTATAAACCTTAACACTTTTCATCATCACCTTTAAGATTTATTTGGTCATCTCACAAAACTCTGGTAAACTCAGGGATGGAATTCCTGCTCCCCTGAAACCCTACTCTTACACAGGTCACTTCGAAACCTTGAAGGTAACTTCTTTAAAGAACAAAAGCAATAAAACAAAACACTAATGAGAAAAGTGGGCTGCTTAAGAGCATCCTCATTCCCGCACAAACCCACAAAATCAGAAGGATCCCCACAATGTTGGAACAGGAGGGCTTACTGTGCCCGAGGGCATTCAAGGTGGCTCGCACGGAGGAACCGACACTCGGGAGGTAGAGGAAGGAGTATGTTTTCTTTCAGGACACTCCAAAGTCACGTAGAAATGCACCCACATCTTTTCTGGTTAAAAGTAACTTTAATGCTCACTGAGAGCACGTTCATATTCTCCAGGTAGCAACAATCTTACCACAGGCAAAGAGTTGTCAGAAGAGGCTAAGGAAACAGGTTTTCCTCCCCTCCCATCTCCCTAAAGCCACTTGCCCCAAAATGAATCTTGAGAAATCTTGCTTCTCTCAAGACCTCTCATTTTGAAGCTGGAGTGGGACCTTTGCTCTGGCAAGGAAGCAAACCGAAGGCGTGACATTGGGGAAACGCTGAGGAACATTCTACGCTACATTTTTCTTAAAAGGGTGAAGCCCAAAGCAGAAGTAGGATTTATTCATTTCTAGATGGATAACATTTGATAACTGCCCGGGACAGAGAGAAACAATTTCACTTCCCCCCCCCCCAACCGCCCTCCTGAAGCAACGACTGACAGAAACAGTCTCAGAGAGGGACAGACAGGCTGCCCTCCTCACGCTCCAGCCCGCAGCCCGCGGGTCGCCCGGCAGGCTCAGACCCACGCCAGCCCCTAGCTCGCGCCCCGCGGCCACTTCGAAGCCCGAGTTCGGGGCGGACTCGGCCCAGCAACCGCCCTGCCTGCGGCGCGTCCCTCAGGGTGGCGTCCGCCACACTTGGAAGCTTCTCCAGAGCCCCGGGACGAGGCGCTGGCGCGGACTGGGGAACCCCGGGGGTTCCGGACCCCCCAGGGCTCTAGCCCCTCACACCCCCACGCCTCAGAGGCTTAAGTTGCTCGGCACCCCGCGGCGCGCTCGGCCCCCGTCTCTCCCACTCCGGCCCCTCCCGGCTCGGCGCCCCGAGTCTCCCGCCTCCGCGGAGGTGAGAGCGCACTCACCGGAGGTGAGCTGCATCCAGGCACAGATCTTGTACACGGTGGCCGTGTTGCAGAAGAAGAAGAGGGTAAAGCAAACGATGCAGGCGATGATGAGCATCATGGAGAGGCCGATGAAGAAGGAGGCGGCTTTGAAGGCGCCCGAGGGTAGCGTGGAGAAGTCCGTGAAGCTGCCCCTGCAGGTCAGCTCCCGGGAGAAGCCGTTGCCAATGCAGTAGTGGAAGAGCCCGAAATAGCCGGCTTGCGGGGTGTCCACGCCGTCGCCGATCCAGTAGGGCTGGATGAAGCACACCACGTTGACGATGGCAAAGCAGATGGTGAAGATGGCCCACAGCACGCCGATAGCCCGCGAGTTCCGCACATAGTTGGTGTGGTACAGCTTGGCAGCCTCCTGAGCCGGCAGCATCGCGGCGGCGGCGGCGGCAGCGGCGGAGGCTCCGGGCATTCTCCCCCTCCTCCTTCTCCTCCTCCTCCTCCTCCTCGTCCTCCGCCTCCCCCCGCCTCTGGCGCTCAGGAGACACACTCACCGAGCCGCGCGCGCCGCAACTCCCCAGCCTCAGCCTCAGCCCAGCAGCGCCAGTTTCGGAGTCTGCATTCTCGCTCCCGGAAGGAGGGCGGGGGAGCGCCGAGCACCCCTTGGCTCGCCAGGCACAGCCTCCCGGCCCTCCTCCCTCCCTCCCTCCCGGCCGGGGCTCCAGCCCCCCTCACCACTCTCCACCCCTCAGCCCGCCGCGGCAGCAGCTGCAGCTGAAGGCGGCAAATCCCGCGCGGGGCAGCGTGGCTCACGAGCTCGAGCGCCCCCCACTCGGCTTCCCGCCTTTCGCACTCCCCCCGCGCGGCGGGTGTCGCCGGGCGCTGAGGAACGCGTCGACCCTGGGACGCCCCTGAAGTGGCGGGCGTGGACCTGAGGAGCGGGCCGGGAGTTGGGGAGCAGGATCCGAGGTGGGGACGGGAACCTCACTGGGATCCCACGGGCTACTCAGGATCTGGCTGGTCAGGGCTCGGGTGCCCAAGGCTGCTAGTGCGAGCTCGTCAGCGCCGCACAGCAACGTGCTTCGACCTCTGCATCTTTGCAGGGGCGCGAGGGCCGGCGTGGCAGGTGCGAGCGAGACTCGCCAAGGATGAGAAGACATACTGCCCCCAAGAGACCTCCCTGTGGCCACCACAGAACCCGTCCTGGTGGAAGTCTTCGCTGCCTGGGGTCGACCAGGCGGAGACAGAAGTTGGGGAAAGCCTGGGAGACAGTGTTGAAGACGCATCTCAAGGGTGGTCTCATACCAGCTCAACTGAGCTGGTCGCCACCAAGCGCCCACCCCACTCGGCCTCTAAAACCAAGGGGAAGTGGACTGAACTGTAGCAATGGATGTTCTATACTTTCCCTTAAACCAGGTTGTTTGCCCCCATAAATTCTGCCACAGATAAAGACAATGGTTCATGGAAGTGAGTCACAGAAATGAATCGTTTGTCTAAAATACTGGGTAGTTATTTATTTTACACAGATAATCATTGGCAGCTTCCATGTGCCCAGGTACTGTGCTGGTAAAGGATACAACGAAGAGAACAGCAAATGATCTTTCTCCAGGTACAGTTAGTTCCCCTCTCCCACAATCCCAAGCTCCAACAAACTGAGAGTTGTTTTCAGAGTAATGGCTCCCTGATTTATGCATAGATTTAATTCTCACATTTTCATGTGGATTGCTATTTTACACCTGCACTTTGTGCTATTTCTTAACCTTAATGTTTCTCCCTTCCTATCTTTGCATTTGCATTGCTCTTTTAACAGTCCTTGCCTGTCAAACTTTCTTTGTTGACACTGGTTACTTTTTTAGTCCCTTCTGATTTTGATATAAAAAAAAAAAAACAAGTAACCCCAGTTCAAAGTAGTAGATTTTGGTAACAACATTTTGAGCCACAGGACCACTGACTCCTCTGAGCAGAAAGGAGAAAATTCTGTGCTATTTTTGACCTCCAACATGCTTAATTGCATGTTGTTATAATGCAAAAACAGTTAAATTTCTTGACACCATCTTGCCATTTTACCCAATTTGTCCACCTTCTTACTGTTACATGAGATAACAGGTAGAATATGAAATTACCAGGGATAAAAAGAAAGCTTAGAGTGATTCCTTTGGACTGGATGGAAGGAGGAGAAATGTTTCAGTGGTTTTTGCTTCACAAATGACACTGCATACCAACAACACTCATCTGATAACCTGGAGAATTGAGATTATACAGGGAGAGAATGGAAGTAGGATGTGGAACACTAAAGGAGTTGCTGCTGAAATTGAGAGAATTAAAAAGAGTGTATGTTGGAAAAAAAAAAGTGTATGTTGGAATGTTACTCTTTTTCCTAAAGGTCTGAAATTCACATATTGCAGTTGGAGGTCTCTTAGGCAGGGTTTTTGATATCAGGAGGATAGAATTAAATAGCATGAAACTTGTACGTTTAGGTGATTAAAAATTTCTTGCTAGTATGGTTGTAGTCTCTCAAAAGGTCTCTAAAACACTCAAAGGGATTTGTCTAAAAAAATCAAAGGGATTTTGGGAAGGTGGGGAGGATGACCTAAATTTGAGCCAGCCCAATATAACACTTGCAAGTCTCTAAAAATATAATTCATGATGATGCATCATCAGCGCATTGGTGGCAATAGAGGGTCAGAACTTCTGTTAAGTTTCATTTGCCCTAACTTCCCTAAAGTTGCTGGTAAGTCAGAAAATCAGAAGTGTCTTAACGTGGCAGTAGGAAAAGTGAAGGTAATCAGATTTATGGTGCCATCTGGGCAGATTATGTGTCCCAAGGGCAGAGATAGCTTTACAGCAGTAAGTGGCAGTAATTTCTAGTGACTATCCCAAGCCCTCAAATTCCCAAAAACCTGCTTGTATAGAGTGATCTTTCTCTAAAATCTATGTCAAAAAAGAGGTCTTAGGGTTCCTGCAGTGACCATAAGGGAAAAGCTGAGAATAAAAACAATAACAACAACAACAAAGGCCTAGTTTGACCTCAGTGCTTAAATTTCATTTACAGGACAAAGAAAAGAGTAAGGAATGACTCAGATTAAACTGTGCTTCAAGAGTTTTCTATTTGAGTCATACCCAAGGAGAGCCTTGTTCTTATCCCAGATTTGGAATTGCCTCTGGCCTCATGCTTTGGAATCACTGCCAAAGGGCACACTCAAGGTGTCCACTCTTGTCAGCAATAAGAAGGAAGAGATTGAGTTGGTATATTGCTGATCTAAAATGTTCCCACACATTTCCCCAGAGATTATGGGTTGTTACTCTTTGAGGTGGGGGGTTACTCAGTAATGAACTGAACCCTGCCACTTCTTCCCACTTCTGTAGTGCCCAGCACAATAACAGATTTCCAGGAAGAATCAAGCTCTACCAAGAATCTTGGCATGAGTGATGGCAACTCTTCAGTGAATGCATATTGCCCTCCATCTTTTTAAATCTTTCCAATGCACATTCCCAACTCCCAACCTTGCCCTTAGCAACCAGAAACCTAAGCCTTAAGACTTCCTACTCATAAATAAAATGGGGGCAAGCGGAGGGGGGGGGGAGGGGGTAGGAGGGAAGAGAAAAAAGGTAAAAACAAAAAAAGTTCCTACTTTTAATCTAAAACTTGTCAGGCACCAAGCAGAGTTTAGGAATTCAGGCAGTTAAGCATCAGGCAACTCCTTGCATTCATCAAATACAAGGAAAGCTGTTTTGGGGAGGAGGAAATAATAAAACTAGCCTGATTCATGTGAAAATGTTACTATTGATAGAAAAGTATTTTGAAACTATAACATGATTCATATGTGCTAAATAACTAGTAGAAGTCAGTGTCATTGACAGCATCAAATTAGAAACACTGAGCATTCAAATATCAAGCTTCACTGTTAAAAATAGACCTGTTTCTCCTACTGCCACAGAGGGTCAGTAGTGAGACCCACTCATCCCCAACCATCTTAATAAATGTTAGGACTCTAAGAGAAAATAATAGAACAATTGGATTTGTGTAACACTACTAAAAAAAAAAAAATCCAGGTAAGTTACTAGACTATACGATTTGATTCCAAGCTAAACTCTGATGGCATAGAAGACTGAAAGCTGGGGAGGTCAAGAGGCTAAGGACTCAGACCAGCACCATCAGCCCAACTGAGAGCCCAAGGCTCTAGGGGTTTTCATTTTCTCATTTCTAGGATTATGTCAAGGGAAAGAGAGAATATCAAATAAATCCTAAAGTCCTTTCTACATTAAAATTCTATTACACTCTACAAAGACAATTCCAGATGATTTTACAAAAAAAGAAAAAAGAAAGGATAAAACCCAGTATTGCAAAAAAAAAAAAAAAATGAAGGAAACGATAGCAAACTAATGAAGTACACACTTTATTTAGAATTGAAAACCACTTCTGAAGTCCAGTTGTTTCATTTTTTTTCAGACAAGTACTTAACATTCTCAGGTGAGTCATTGCTGTGTCCTTGGAAAATAGAGAAAGAGATGATGTCCAAAATCTCTTACTTAATTGATTTCTAGGACAGTTACTGTCAGGATCAGACTCTAAGATTCTAATGAAGCTTTTTTTTTTTTTACTCACCTCACCAAGAATTTCCTTCTGTCCACTTCTTCACTTTGGTGTTTTGTTTTGTTTTGTTTTTGTGCTTTATAGAAATCAAGAAACAACTCTTACTTTATTGTGGCAAACAGATGAAATGAGTGTTTCAGTGGCCCTGCAAATTATTATAATACTGATTGTACATAGGTCGATACCACTTTGCTGCAAGATATGAACTCCACACCTGAAAAAAAAATGAAAACTAAGAATATCAGTTGTCCTGCTATCTCCTTTTCCTCTATTTTGAACTGGACTTTATGTAATAGTAACCATTTTTATAAGTTCTTTTTACTTTTTCAGAGCCCAAGTAGGAGTATAAGTTTTCCTAAAAGACTCAACATCTTTACAACTTGTACTGCAAGAGTCATTTCTCTGCTAACTTTTTTTTAAAAGATTTATTTATTTATGCATACAGAGCTGGGGTACAGGCTAGAGGTGCAGGGGTGGTGAGAGGATTCACCAGAGACAGAATGGGGAGCAGAACAGATGAATCAACTGAAATACACTGCTAAGGGTAGCAGCAGGTAGGTCAGGAGAGGTCTGCTGCCATATGGATCACCTCCGAGGCTGGGATCGAACTTGTGCTGAAGTGGCTTTAGCTTCTTAGTGCTGTGCTTTAATCTGGTGAGCCACCAGGGAGGGCCCTCTCTGCTAACTTTTTAAAGCTCTTGCTTATGTCAGGATATGTCAGTGTAAAGTTAAATAATGATCTCTCTTGAAAAAAATACTATAGAAATATGACCATCATCTGACATAGGAGTTTTTAAATCCTGCATAGAACACTATTATATTAAAGTTTTAAGTTCTGTTATTAGCTCTATTCTCTTTCAATTGACTACTACTTGCTCTTCCTGATCTTTAAAACAATAAATTCTATTCATTTTGAATATATTCTATTCATTTTTTAAACTTTTGAACCTCTCT